TAAGGAATGAGGTACACTATCCCAGTAAATACATCACACTATATCACTGTCATAGAAGTAAATGTTAGTAGAAAATCAAAAATAATCAATGGAGCACAAGTTTCAAGTAAATTTATTTATCAATAATCAAACCATTTACCGTCCACTTACTTCAGTGAAATTTATAAAAATGACCCATAATAACATCATAGATATCATAAATTTATACATAATCTGTAACATAGTACATGTCATACTTTTACATTTTAATCATCAAACAACAGTTACCCCCGTGGGGATCCATAGGGGTCCCTGCTACCCGTGAACCATTCCATTGATAAACTTAATTTCCAGGGTCGTCCCCATATCCCATCCGGTATGGGTGCCAAATAATAAACCTCAATACCCCGTCCGGTATGAAGATGAAGTGGGTCGTCCCCATACCCTGTCCGGTATGAGCGCCAAAATATTTAAAATCTCCATACCCCGTCCGATATGAGACAACATTCCCGATAGGGTTCCATATAGATCTGGTCCGTCCACCATCTCCCATGATATCTAGTGAGGCTGTCAACTTATCAATTTATCAATTCACATATCTTTTCTATTTTTTTCTTAGTTTTCCGTTTCTCACATAAACATGAATACTTAAACAAGTAACGAGCATCCAATAAGGTAAGCATATCATCGGATTTACAAATTCAAGCCATAATGAAGTAAATATTGATTCATGCATTCAAAACCATAGAATAAATAAATCAGATATCATACTGCATTTAGACAGTAAAATAAATGAAACAGGAATCGACAGATAAATATGTCCGGTTCAGACTCCATTAGCAACCGTAATAATTATGTATATCTATTTAATTCATATAAATACAGTTTTATCATTTATTAGAGTTTAATCTCGATTTTCAATTTTCTTTTCAAAAACATCCCCAGAACCCAAATTTTCACCCATTTTTCTCAAAATTGTTTTCAATTAAAATTTTAAAATAGTTTTACCCATTGTTATTATTATTATTATTATTTAATTAAATTAAAACGATTTATTATTACATAATAAATCATTATATTCATATAAAAATTATAAAAAATTAAAATAAAATAATACTAATAATAATTGGGGTGTTACATATACAATTGAAGTAATCAGCAAAAGAATTTATAGATGGCATTTTGGACTTTAGTGAATTAAAATTAATTTAAAAATAATTAATTAATTAATATGTTGGATATAAAGAATGCTACAGATGGAGGATTATAACAAGGTGGAAAAGCATGTGTTTGACTGGGAAGCTTTATTGTTTGACAAACAAGTACTCGCAGGCAGTTCCTCTAAAATGCGAATAAAAAATGGTAATTGGCATCAAGGCCTTTTCCCGATTGTCTCTCAACATTTTAACCACAAATGGACAATAAGAAACAATCCTATTGTCCTGACTCGATATATGATCTTTTGTGCGTATTCAAAGAGGATTGCCTGATTGTAGTAATGTGTGAGAATTCTCATGGTTATATCCAAAGAGGACTGCATGACTTTCCCTTCTCATCCCTTTGTATTCAGTAAAAAATAAAATAAAATAATCTACAATAAAAGGGTATACGGATTACTATGACTTAATATAAAAAAAAAAAAACCAACAGATCAAATATATGTATGCAGATTTAGAACATTGTATGCTCCAAAATTTTGAAGATGCAACAACTTCGAGAATACACACTCTGCAGGATATTGTTCAGTTACTGCTCTGGTATTCCGGGGAGAATCTGGTGCTTCTACCCACTTGAGTAAAAAGTAGGTCTTGCTCGTTGCTGGACTCTGTTTTCTCCCTCTCTCTCTCTCTCTCTCTATCTTTATCTCTAAAAGTTTTTCTAGAAAATGATATCTTTGCTTCTAATACAAGCTCACTGCAAGTAACAGAAGCTGCTGCTCGTACCAAAGAAAACATATGTAGCAGATCCTTAACTGCTACCAGGGAGAAGTCTCGTAATGCAAAGTGGTAAACATGGTAACTATTCTGCTAAGACTTCGTTTGCCAATTCGTAATTGGCAGGTGATAAATGTCAACAATGAATATCGCAAACTAGTCTAGTCAATATATAGAGGATTAGTTGGCGGCAAGGCCAGATTTCATGAAGAGACCAATGAAGAACAAACACCATCTTAATACGTTTTATGTGGAGTCTATGCTTCAGCATGGTTGACAGCTCTTTTTCTCACCGTGACTCGACTCCACCAGCAATATCCAGGTAATGCTGGTGAGATCCAGAAGGAAACTCCCACTTCTATTGGGACCTCTTATCAGATGCAACCTAAAACATTTGCAGAGAGTTCTCAAGCTTTTAATCTGTCGTGAAATATCAAAGTAATTTCTACTGAAAAAAGTTCAGTCATGATCAGCAAAAATCTAAAGTATACTTGAACGTTTGCTAGCCATTGAAACACCTACCACAAACAAAATTGTACCTTAGTTGGAATGATATTGTCAAGCAAGGGCTAGCTAAAAACGATCTGAACAACGTCCCATTCATTTGGCTGCTTAACCTGCTGATGGAGAATAATATAACAAGTCGAAAGAATCATGTGATGTTTACTAATGATGAAATCCAAAGCAGCAATCAGCACATTTGACACTAGGAAAAGTAAACCCCTTTCAGTATTTAACAACTGAAAAATATAATGGATGGATCGCTTTTCGTTTTTAATTTTTCACAAAGTAAAACATCAAAAAAATACTTTTCTAGCTAATAATGAATTATGTAAATCAATTGCCAACCTATATTATAATGTCAGGCCTCAAGATTTGAATTCTTGTATGGAGCTCAATAATCACATATTTTTTTCAACTAAAATATTATAATTTCCTTAATCTCCTTTATGCTCTTATCAATGTTACATATCATAATTACAAATCACAATCCAAAAGTTCATAATTTCTGCATCAATCCAAAATTATCAATCTGCAATATACTCGATTATCACTAGTCTAATAATTATCGAACCCAAACTATTGAATTCCAAAAACTCAATCTTAAATTAATTAGTGGTGTATGATTTAAGTTCTTACATATATATCTTTTTAATATGGAATTAGGGCATCATATACATCTTTTCTTTTGAATATATGTTATCACATATATCTTGCAATCCTACAATATATAAACATATATATTACGTAGATCCCCTAAAGGATATTTTTCTATTATCTAAACTTTACTCACCCTCTAATACAGGAAGAATGAAAAATGATCGTTTTGACTGCTAAAACCTCACATAACATTACAATTAAAAAATTTAATCACTTAATTAATCCTCTCTACTTAATTCACAACCAATGAAATTGATTTCGAACCAAATAACTAAAAAAAAAAATTTAAATACAAAAAACGTTACGACTTACTCGATAAGTTAATTATAAATTCTTGACTCAATAAAACGATATAAAGTTTTCCATCTTGAAAACGCTTGAAGAACATTCTCTCAAAACTAACTAAATCTAACTTGGAAATAAACCAGAAATTTTATTAATCTTAAAATTGAAGTTGTGATTACAAAACTAGGATGAAGCCTTTATATAGACTTCAATTTTCCAATAAGACTAGAAATACAATTATATATTCCTATTCAAACTCTTAAACACAAAAAATAATTAAATTCTAATCTAGATTTAAAATAAATTTATAAAATAATATTAATTTATTTGAAGAAAGATTCCTCTCCTCTTGGCCGAATCTCCATAGACCCTTTTATCCTTTGACTTCAATTTGGTGTAAAATTCCTTTAATTTGCAGCATGGGAGTCATATGGGGATAAGGAAAAAGGAAGAGGAGTCGTCCTCGGACACGAGTCGGTTGTCCACGTGGAACTGGCGCACGGTGAAGCTTCCAGGTGCGTGCGGCTTGCGTGTGCATGTGTGTGGGACCACCTGCACATGCGCATTCCTGCGAGCGGTCATACATGTATGCACCCACGCGTGCATGCGGCAGCCTGCACAGGCGCACTCTGCTGCTTGCAGCTTCGGGTCGCCCGCACAGCTAGCGTGCTTCTTCACGCAGGAGACGATCCTGCATGTGCATGTACTCCTTTCTCGCACATGTGCGTGCCTGCAAATGAGCACAAAGCTGCTGGCTTGCGCGGCCTGCCTTGACCGAATGTCTCCTTGGCCGTGAGGCCTTGAGGCCTCCTCGAGCTGGGCCAAAAGTTGGCATTTCCTCTTGCCTTGAGATTCTCCAAGCGTGCGGGTCTCTTCATGGGCTTTAAGCCTTCTTTGAACAAACTTGGCTCATTTCGTTTGGTACGGGACTTGTAAAAATTCCTTTTTCTCACGCACGGATCTATGTCCGCGTGTTGTGCGGCATGCATGTACGGCATCTTTGTGCTTGTGCTTGCGCTTGCGCATTGTGAGTGTTGCATGTCCTTCTTCCCGTGCAGCTGCAGACTTGTGGGTAATTTTTGCACGGGAATCCTGATTTTCACGAGATTCTTCCTTCTTGATGTGGCATTGTATCATTAGAACTAATTTTGAGTCATCTAGGATCACATTACTCTTTTTCTACATTTATACAAAACTTGAGATTGAATCAATTTAATATGTTCCTATTGTCAAACTATCCGTGGCTTGAATAACTTTGTTAGGTCAAGGAGTTGAACCCTTATCCAATTTGTACAAGTGCATCAATCAATTGGATGGGAGGAATCCACCCAACTAGATGCCCTCTCCTTCTTGATTTTATTTCTTTCCATCATGGTTCTAACCTCATTAGCATCATCCCATCGTCCCACATCAGCATACATATTGTACAGCAACACATAAGGGGCTGAGCTTTCTGGTTCAAGTCTCATCAACGCTTCAGCTGCAACTCCAGCCAACTCTACATTATTATGTACCCTACAAGCACTCAGTACTGCCCCCCACACGGCATTATCTGGCTCAAAAGGCATACTATTGATTAATTCCATAGCCTCCTTAAGTTTCCCATTCCGACCTAAAACATCCACTAGGGAAGCATAGTGTTCGATCCTTGGTGCAATACCATATTCATCAACCATAGATTTAAAATATTCCCGGCCTTCATTGACCCATCCAGCATGAGCACAAGCATTCAACACAGAAATGAATGTTATATAAGTAGGTCGAACTTTATTACTTTTCATCAATTTAAAGAGCTCAAGAGCCTCTGTAGCAAAGCCATGAGACGCATATCCTCCAATCATTGCATTCCAAGAGATTACATCTTTTTGCACTTTCACCTCATTAAAAATGCTCCATGCCTCAGTTATTGCCCCGCATCTTGAATGCATAGTAATGAGGGAGTTATTTATTGGCACGTCCGGAATAGTTGTCTTTATGACAAGCTGATGTATCTGCATTCCTAGGTACAGATCCACAAGCCCTGCGGACGCACTGAGAATTGAAGATAAAGTATGTCGATCGGGTTTCTGCCCTTGGGATAGCATGAGCATGAACAGGTTAACTGCTTCTCTATGGTTCTCATTTTTCTCATACCCCGCTATCATAGAATTCCATGACACCAGATTTTTCTGAGGCATCCTTTCAAAGAATCCTCGAGCGAGATTTAAACAACCCGTCTGGGCAAATCCTGCAATCATCATATTCCATGACAGTGTATCAGGGTTTGGCATTTCATCAAAGAGACTCAACGCCTCTTCCATAGTTGACATGTGAACATAGCCACTGATCATGGTATTCCATGAAAAAGTATCACGCTCTCTCATTTGATCAAAGAGTTCCCTAGCTGCAACAACATCTCCTGCTTTCACATAGCCCATGATCATAGAATTCCAGGATACCACATTCCTTTCAAGCCTCCCATTGATTTCTTTTCCAGAGTCATGAAAAACTGGAATCTGATCAAAAAGTTGTCGAGCTTCTTTTACCTTTCCTTTCTGACCATACCCTGCAATCAAAGTGTTATAAGCATGTAATAAAAGATCTCCTCTGTCATCATATCTTCTCCCAAATTCAGTCAAAACCCTTGTAGCATCATCTAGTCTACCATTCTGGATAAGCCCAGAGACAAGTGTGCTCAAAGAAGCTGAGTCCAGCTCGGGTATAGTCTCGAAAAACTCAATGGCACGTCCAACATCACCGTTATGCAGAAACCCATTAACAATTGCGTTCCATGACACTACATTCCTTTCAGGCATCTTATTGAAAAGCTTCAGCGCCTCATCCATCCTTCTGTTCCTGGCGTACCCACTAATCATGGTGTTCCAAGAAACACAGTCCCTCTCCGGCATTTCATCGAACAAGCGCCTCCCATGGTCCACAAAATCAATCCCACCACATGATACATAACCCGAAATCATCAAATTCCAAGAAACAACATCTCTCTCGGGCATTTCATCGAACAGCTTCCGTGCTTTTGCAATCTCTCTTCGCTTCACGTAGCCGCTCATCATTGAATTCCATGTAATGGTGTTTCTTTGTTCCATTTTATCGAATACCGCCCTCGCTTCGCTAAGCTGACCAGTCCTTATAAAATGAGTTATCTTCTTGTTCATTGTGTAAAAGTATGTGGACTGGGAAGAAGAACTGGGTGTAGAAGCAAAACCATGAGATGACAAAGGCGCGGCCTTTACAGTGAGTGCAGTAATGGGAACAAGAAAACGATGCCGTTTTGATGCAGACCCGAAGACTGAAATGGCTGCATTTAGCCTCATCCTTCTCGTTGCTAGCAGTAGCAGCTTATTATCTCTTCATGAGTTTTGAAACTCGAAGCCCAAGGAGGAAATTTGGCCGAGATGCTTCATTTTGTTAACCGGCATCGTTTCTTAAACCCAGAGAAGAGACGAGAGGTCGCCGAGGGCTGCGCTTATTTAAAACCAAGTTTATTCCTTCAAAAAATAATAAGTTATGGTAAATATTAATTGTAATTTAAAACATTAATTAAAATTATTAATGAACCTTAATTAAATGATATTATAATTTAAAAGAGAGTGAAATGAAGAAACGAAGCCGATATAGCAGGAAGAAGCTCACTATCAGTCTGCTCAGTTCATCAGCGTTTCAAATTCGAAGCCGAAGGAAAGTTATCCGAAAAGCTTTTCATCTTCAAATGCCAGAAGACTAACAAACCGGAGGAATCGTTTACCGAACCAGAGAAAAAGAGACGGGTGGCACAGGGCTGGGCATATATATCAATAGTAGAGCAGATGATAAGCGATTGCAGATTGGCAATATTATTCACACCATTGCCATGGAACTACAGTCACCCGCACCCACAACAAATCAAATTTCTGGTTCGATGCAAACGTGGTGGAGACACGTTGTTAACAAAGCAAGGCCAGCGGTTTCTCTCTTCTCTCGCGGCCGTTGCTGTTGCCGGAGACTCCTCGGCCACCAATCGTTTGATAAGGAAATTCGTAGCCGGATCGCCCAAATCGGTGGCTCTCAATGCTCTCTCCTATCTTCTTTCTCGTCAAACCTCTCACCTACACCTTTCCCCTCTCGCCTTTTCTGTAACTCTCTCTCTCTCTCTCTCTCTCTGTTCCTTATAATATCTTTTTAAAAAAAATGTATTCATTCTTTCGTCTTAAAAGATTCAGTTCATGTGTTTTCGATTTGCATGTATGGACAATTGCAGTTGTACAAAGAGATAACTGAAGCATCTTGGTTCATTTGGAACTCAAAGCTGGTTGCTGATCTGATTGCTCTACTTAATAAACAAGAACAATATGAAGAATCACAGAGGCTAATTTCTCAAGCTGTTTTCAACTTGACGTCACGTGATCGAGATCTTGCTCTTTTCTATTGCAACATGCTTGAGTCCAACTCTAGACATGGCTCGAGGCGGGGATTTGATCAGTCCTATGCTTATTTAACGGAACTTCTTGCTAGTTCGTCATCTCTTTTTATTAAGCGCCAGGCTTGTAAATCAATGATCGTTGGTTCATCTCAAATGGGTCTACCTCATGAAGCGGAGAAGATGGTTGAGGAGATGAGAAACAAAGGACTGAAGCCATCATTATTTGAGTGTAGGTCCATTTTATACGAGTATGGAAAGTTGGGATTTCTCGAAGATATGGAGAGGTATCTGCATCAAATGGAGAAAGATGGTCTGGAAATTGATACTGTTTGTTCAAATATGGTTCTCTCTTCATATGGAGCTCATGGTGCCCTTCTTAAAATGGTTTTATGGCTGCGGAAAATGAAGAATTCCGAGATTCCTTACTCGATAAGGACTTACAATTCAGTCTTGAATCATTGTCCTACGATCATTTCATTGGTAATGGAGTCAAATGATTTCCCACTTTCAGTTGTGGAGCTGGTTGGGATTTTAAAAGATGAAGAGGTGTTGTTGGTTAAGGAGCTGATCGAATCACCAGTTTTGGAAGATGCAATTGAGTGGAATGCTGGAGAGGCGAAATTGGATTTGCATGGAATGCATCTCAGTTCAGCCTACTTGATAATGATACAATGGATGGAGGAGACCCGATCTAGGTTCTGCAACGGGAATTGTGCGATTCCAGAAGAGATTGTGGTTGTTTGTGGAGCAGGAAAACACAGCAACCTTAGAAGGGAATCTCCAGTGAAACAACTAGTAAAAAAGTTGATGGTTAGAACAGGATGTCCAATGAGAATCAACAGGAAGAACATTGGCTGCTTTGTTGCCAAAGGGAAAGTCCTGAAGAAATGGTTTTGTTGATTACAATGGCCAACTCTGCTTTCTTATTGCAATCAAAAATCTGGGATGAAAAGATCTATAAAAAGTCTCTCAAGAACTTACTGGAAGATAATGCCGCCATCCATCCATCCATCTCAAGCCAAGAGCTCCAATTATATTTCCAGAATCACCTGTAAAGAAGGATCATGGCAACCATTTATGTCAAACGATTAATTGATATCTAAGAGTTGGACATGCTAAATGATCATCCAGTTGTTAAGCAACTATGAAACTTCTGACATCAACAAACTGGCAGGTTCCTTGGTACTTTGAGGATGCATGAATCACAAATATTTTTATCACCAAACTTTTGGTCAAGCATCCCCAAAATGCATTGGGCTAACCCATTGCATAAAATTAAGTTTTGATGGGAAGAAAGTGAAACCGCTAAATCAAATATATTTCAAGAAATCACATGCTTGTTTTCCTATGAAATTGCTCTTCGGATCACTTCCATCCATTCTTTCTGCAATATAAACATGAACTTGTATTAAAAAAACTCTTGACGATAGGAAGGAATGTTAATAAATACCTGGAGAAATTGGGAGCATCAAATTTATAATGCTCATTTACAATTTACATCTTCCGAAGATTCCTTTGTTTCCTGATATCATTCATGCGTGACAAACAAAATTTTCATGGAAGGCCAAATTTGACAAGAAACTCTCTATTTGTTTCGTTGTATTGTCACTTCAAATAAAATGCATTTTACTCAAACCTCCAGAATTGACTCAAACTCCTATCCCTCAGGCTGAATAGATTCCATCAACTCCACAAATAACCTGGAACAAAATTCCAAGAAATGCTTTAAAGTTGTTTGCCTGTGCAGGAATAAATGAGTAATTACAAATGCCCTGGGCGAATTATATTAAGTAGAGACCAAGCAATCAATCAATCATTACACACTCCCATCAGATGCAAAAGTTTAAAAAGTCAGGTCTAGGAAACTATGTGACATCAAAAAACAAAAAATAATAAGAATAAGAATCCTTAAAAATTTGTAGATTACCAATAAGAATACAATAGAAATACAATTACTTAGTTGATTACAATGGCTGACTTTGCTTTCATATCGCAAACACAAATCTGGGATGAAAGAATTCATCGTTATGATTCCAAAGTATCTATCAAGTAATTACACAAGCATATGTGTGCTAGCGTAGCAAGCCAAATTCTAGCATACTTCTATTTGTGCAGTGAAATGTTGAAATGTTGTAGTAATGGACTATGGAAGGTTGTTGTAAAATCACAGGTGCTAGCCTTCAAGAATGCTCTGTTGATCTCTAAGCAAGCGTATCTTCCTATATGATTCTTGCTTTAGAATTGGGCATGGATTCAATGTTGTAGTTGTTGTCAACATCCCAGTCCATCCTGCCAACAGCAGAATAACAGATTCACTACCATCATCATGAAAAATCAACTTCACCATTTAATAATATCATGAATAATCAACATTTTTAAAGCAAAAAATTCAATTTGACCATTATTATCAGAATCCTGGAACTGAAAACACTGCTGGACTTTTCCTATCAAATCATTGGTATTCAAAGTTATTATGTTTTGTTTTGAATTTCCCTCCATTCTGATGCTGGGTATCACTTTGAATCCAGCAAATAGAAGCTGTGCATATACTATTGATGTTAGCTTGAGATCTTTTGTTTTGACTTACACTTCTAAATTTTTTTACTTATATTCTTCTGAGAACGTCAGGGAGCATAATATCAGCAAATTCCATACTAGAACTCAGTGGAAAAGAATGCGACTTGAGAATTGTATTAAAAAGAAATGACTATTCATCCATCTCTTCAAGCCAAGAGCTTCCGTTATCTTTCCAGAATCACCTGTAAAGAACGGTCATGACAACCATTTATACCTAACAATTATGAAATTTTGAGCATATGTTGTAATATGTTTTGGAGAAGCTAAATGATCATCTAGTTGTCAAGCAACTGTGAGACTTCTGACATCAATATACTGTTCATTAGTATTTCGAGGCTGCATGAATCACTAATACTATTATCACAAACTTCTGGTCAAGCCACTTATCAAAATGCATTCAGCTAACCCATTGCATAAAATCAAGACCACCACATCAAAAATCTTTAGAGAAATCACATGCTAGTTTTAGTATAGACTTGCTCTTTTGATCAATTCCATCCATTCTTTCTACAATCTAAAGAGAAACATACATTAAAAAATACTTGAAAATAAGAAAGAATGTTAATATATACCGGGAGAGAATTTTGTACATTGAGAGCATCTCATTTATAATGTTTATGTACAATGTACATGTAATATCCGGACTTAAAATTTGGTACGAGATTAATTTTAAAATAAAAAAATAAAAAATAAAATAAATAAATATATAATTTTTAAATTTTTAAATTTTTATTTAATATAAAATTAGAAAAAAATAGATGGATGATGAAATTAAAAATAATTTTGAAAAAATAGATGAAAATTTGAGTTTATGATATATTTTTGAAAGAAAAATCGGAAACTGGATGTCAAAACGCAATTAACGCCACATAGAACCGCCCAATCAGCAACCCCGATGAACCAGCGTGCACCGTATGGCAAAGCACGCTGACTCGGTGCCATGCGGGAAGCCATGCTGGCAATCTGCATGCACGCGATCAGACGGCTCGAATACGTTCCCGCCCGCGTGAACGATTCGGATTTGTTCCCTCCTCATGCGCGATCGAACGGTCGCGATTAAATGCGATGAACAGCTCAAGTTTGTTTTTTCTTTAAACACAATCGTACAGTCCAAATCAAATCGTAATAAACGATGCAGATTCATTTACTCTTTAAATGCGATGAACAGTTCAAATTAAAACTAATGAAGATTGTCCTAAAATATTCAGTTGTTTCGTTTATTTATTTGATTTTCGTTTGTTTTTTTATAAAGGACATTCTCATAATCCTATTA